GACAGGATGGGGAGAGATAGTCAGAAAAAAACTAAATTAAAGCTATCCAGAACTATCAACTTTACAAAAAAAAAAAAACACTAAAACAAATCCAAAACTTTTGTGAAGAAAGTTTTCTTAGTTTCCCTTCTTTCAGCCCAGACAGTGGGACCCCACTCACAGCATGGGCAGGTTAAGCTGAGCAAACGCCCTCCTTCAAGCTCTGTATTTCTCCCAATCGACTGAATATTGTGTTTCAGATGTTTAGTATTCCCTACATTTACATGGCTGCAGGCATGACAGCTGAGGTTTGATTAACAATCAGAAACGGCAAAAATTCCAAGTACTGTGGAATGGAACTGATGTCCTATATTATTGATTAATTAGTCATTTTGTTAATATTTTCTGTTTTGATGAAACTCTCTTTTTTGCATGGGATTTTTCATTTTCATTACATTGTTCAGATTCCAACTAAGATATCATATGCAAAAATAATCATTCATTTTCCATCGCAATCATCAATAATTTCATTTCCAGTTTTTCTGACAATCAGGTATGCAAATTAGCTGAACAATACAGACACAAACCTTCCAAAATGTATTTTTCTTCTGGTGTATAAAAGCCACTTTAAGCAGATTTCTCCCTTAGGATGTTTCCTATAACTGTTTCTAGCACTATTTCTGCTTTTTAGATGTTGAAAACCAAAAACTGTTAAAGAAACCTAATTTTACTTCTATTTAACAGGCAAGCATAGAACAAAGTTCTTTGCTAACTAAACTAACCTCACGTAAGCATTAATATATACATTTACAGTGAGAAGTAAACCAGATAAAAGACCAGGAAAAAACACCAACACAAATATTCATAACAATATTTCATCAAATGTGTTTTCATTACACAGAGACCTTATTCATATTAGCTGTTCATCGACATTACAGTTGATTACTTACCAAAACAACTTGTAAAATGCAAACTTTTAATTAGTATAGTATTGTCTGTGTCTGCACCTGACTTTTTTTAATAATTGCTCCGAATATGTAAGAAGAAACAACACCCTGTGAGTCCTGTGCCCCATAAATCAGTTTGAATACCAGAATTTCTCAGTTAACTGCCTCTAGTACCATGCAGACAAAGAGTTATTTCCTAAAATAATTCAACATATAAAATGAATAATGTTGGTAGAAACACCCATCATTTGCTGAAAGAAAATTTAAGAGCAAAGCAAGAAACTTAGCTATTTGAATAAACCATTCCTCTGCTAACTTTTAAGGGAACATTTATGGTCCCTGCTTAAATTGGAAAAAGTTTGAGTTATAGGTCCAACCAGTTAGAGACAGAGGGCAAACTGGAGACTGTACATGAAGGGAGATCAGCACACCAGGGAGAGCCATGCACGGGACAGATCAGTCACCACCCCTGCTGTGCTGTCCCTTCCTCTGGAAGTGTGTGGCTGTGGGAGTTATTACTTGAAAAGGTGCATCTTATTCCCTTTTCTCAGTCTTGGCTGCCACAGCAAACGAGAAGAAACAAAAACCCAATCCCTACATATCATCCACCTGTCACCCCTCGGAAACTTCCCTGCTTCCGACTCCACGGGAACACGTTTCCCTGCTCAGGCACAGGCGTATCTCCCTTCTGCTACTACTTCTGGCATTTCAAATGAGATCTGCTGAAAAGAAGATGGCCAGAAAAAGACAGAGCATTTAGTATAGCTTGTTAAGAGCTAACATCCACAGGACATGGCCTTCACATCAGGACAGTGCCCTTAGCCAGTTACTGCTCGGCAGGGTCCTGCTTCCGAAGCGCTTTTATGTGCTGCAAAGAAGGCTGTTCTTAAATATTGCGATGAACTCAGCTACAAATTCAACAGCAATGGATTTCTAGCTGCAAAAGGAAAACTTGCACGGTATCACAGAGGAAGTCTTCTCAGCGTCAGACTGTCCTATGGAGCAATGCACATCAAATGTCCCTAGAAAAGACAGCACGCGAAGGGCTCAAATGTGCAAAATGAGAAATTTTCAAATATGCCAAAGACAAAGCAGAAGTCATTTTCTGCAAAAGGCTCTTCTATCTCAGTCTGTATTTGACCTACAGCGCATACCAGAGGGCAGACCAAACTCCACCAAATTGTTCACAAAGGAACCATTAACTTAGCGACAAGGCTGGACAAGTATTAAGAAGGGGTCTATTAACAAGGAGTTAAAGGAAGTGAGGCCACCTTAAAATCTAAGAACACAAAGATGGATCTGCTGAGTGAAAGTGGTGGCTTAAGTTCCAGCTGAAATATGCATATATTTAAAAACATTCAGTCTAGTGCTTTTTGTATTAATGACTATACTTTCAAAACAGTGAAACTGTGAAACATACACAGGCCACCTCCTTCAAAGGAGAGTTTGCATTTGCTGCACAGATCCTCAGGAGTAATCAAGATATTACCACAGTCACAGAGCTCCTGGGCAGATAACCATACACCATAGGAATTTGAGCCTTGAACTCCCAAAAAGTAGAGCCCCCCTCCAAAGATAATGAAGGTCCTGGAGTTGCTGTTACCAGTGATCACTCTCAGGAACAGCGAGAGAGGATTTGGACGGAGGGCATGGCAGCCTTTCGAGTAAGCACTAATAAACAAAGAGGCAAATACTAGGAAAATAATACTTGGAAGACAAAAAAGATCTCTTTACAAAGTAGACTTATACTGAGACCAGTACGTTTTTGTGAAGATTCAACTATTTAAGTTAAAAATGGTTTTTGCAAGGATGTTCATAACTTTATCACTTCCAGTGAAATGAACAGCAACTGAAGCGGGCAGTATCGGCTCCTCACTGCAGCAGTACAGGAGATCTCCACCGTACCAGAGCAGCAAGAGAAAATAACTGTTTTAACACTACAGTCTTGTTTTTTTCCAAAATTACAGCCTGTACTAGTTGACATTAACCAACTAGTTTCCTTTGTTTATACTATTTTGTAATTTTATGGAAAAAAACAGATTTATGTGATGACAGCAGAATCACATCAATGTCTTCTAGTTTCCAGTTGTGGAATATTCATGTCCCCAAACAAAACAAAGTAACTAAATCTTATTCATTTTTCTAAAAATATTGAGCCAAAATAGTGCATAGAATACAAAAAATCTAGTTAAATCAGGAAGTTTTATATGAATCCACAACACTTTATAAGGAATAGCTTAGCTATTAAAAAGCAACTTCAAAGCCACCTTTTCTTTGGTGACTTTCTACATAATCACAAAGAAGGAGGATTTTACCTCAGCTTATGTACAACAATGTAGAAGACAGAAAAGTACAGGAAAGCAAATCTCACAGTAAATACAACCATTTTACTGATAATGATGCCACACCACAGGATAACATTGATTGCCTAGTTACCAAAGAGTAATTTTGGAAACATCTCAGCACCTTCCTGCTG